TTAGCATGAATGCTATGGAAAAATTTGTTGTTAGATATTGAACTTGTTATTGTATAATAATGTTGCACATTGATTGAAGTTTTGTTATTGTTGTAAAACTGTATATGGTCAACCAATTTATGGTCACGATGGTATCCCCAACGTATTTCAAATTCAAAAAGGGAGCCAACCTGGATCTCCACGTCTTTAGAGTGTGAGGACACACTCTTCGCCAAAACGGGGGTCGTATTATAGGCATTATTATAGGCATAAAAGTGTAATATACATTTAGATAATTAGCAAGTAATTAAAGTAATTAATAAGCATTAAGATACATTCTGATTCTATAAAAGATCAAGAGGGAGAGTTGGGGTCGGTGAGTCGGGAATAGGTAGATGTATAAAACAGGCAGCTCTGGTTACTTGAAGACTACGGGAGCATGCCTGGCCACGAGGATCCAGGGACGAGGGCAGTAGGTCGAGGGTTATACATGAACGAAATATAATTAACAGATGAGAAATAGATAAAAGGGAAAAATAGAGTTGGGAGGTACGGGAACGTCAGGGACTTTGGACATATATGGTCTGAGGGGGGAAAATAGTCCGAATTCCAAGGGGTAAGAAGTTACATGATAGCAAGTCCGAATAAGGTTCTGGTTATTAGAGAAGAGTGGGGAAGAACGACCTAAGGTAAGGGGGGAAAGGTGTTTGACCAATGAAATAGGAAAAAATGGGTAAAACCTTGACGTAAGCTGGGGGTAAAGAGGACGGGGAGACCCAAGGTTCGGGGAGACTGGAGGATCCCAATTGAGCACCACGATCTCGACCTTACTCTGAAAAACACCAGTTTACACCTCCAGTATTTCGGCCAGGACTGAAGCTTTGCGGCTAAAGTTCATAAACCATCGTGACCAGAAGTTGGTGATCAATCATTAGTGATTGAATAAACAGTCATCAACGAAAGAAACTCTTTGTGCTCATTGGGAGAACTACGGTAATTCATCCAAGGCCCTCGGGTACTGACCTTGTACCTCTCGTAACATCACAGTCTGTCAGCACCAAGAACGAGGGGATTACCGTGGTACAGGTGAGGAGGTAACGACTGTTACACTCCGGTTAATTAACACCAATTAACACCTGTAATTAAGGGGCGAAAAGTACCTTGGATAGTAGCACTAACATCGCTTAGTGACAAGGACGAAGACTGAAGAAATGATCAGTGTGGGAGGTCTCTTCTTTAAGCGGTGTTTAAATGGACTTTATATGTGAAATATGCAGTACCTATAACCTCTACTATGAATCTAATGTTCAAGCCACGGAAACACGTGAACAGTACAGATGCATTAAAGTTGTACAAGGTAACTTCATTGAGTCGAATGTGATAGGTAATAGTACCTACAACCACTTTTCACTGGATTAATATTCATATGAAGTAATAAAAATGATAAATGTGTTTTTAACGTGTTTTTGTGACGGGTTCCACCGGTGGGACAGGATACGCTCACCTTTTCGCGAACACCTCGTGTCATCACTATTTGTAAGTGATTCAGGAACACATGCTTAATAGTCGGACTTGAACACTGAACGGAGCTGTTAGGGCTCAGTCACACATTCAGGATTTGTACTGCCGTCCTTGATAGGACCGTTCCCGATTAAAATTTGTCAAAAATCAGATCAAGATCCTGTGATTCGTGGCGGGAAATTCACAAATTTGTAAAAAAACATTTATTTAATGTCTAAGGCATTTTAGATATTGTTCAGGAAGCGTCCCGATTCAGCCGTTTCCAGCCGAATTCGTCCCGATTCTCTCGTTATCTATCCGAATCCGATCCGATTTGTATCTTCAGCATGGTACAAAACGACCGAATCTGTCCCGATAGCTTCCCGATTCTCCCGAATGCGATCCAATAGAGGCCAGACAGTGACCGAACAGTGAACCGACTGTTCGCTTTCGGCAAGATCTGGACCCACTCGACAAGAAACTGTTATGAACATTTTCTTCAAATCATGCCCTTTCAACGCGACAGCGTCCCGATCCACAGGACACCATCCAGACAACACAGAACATTGTTACAATTTTACAGCAGAGTATGTCACGATTGTAATCCGACTGGACAAAATCGGCAGAGTTTCCCGAATGTTACGGTATGCACCATACTGTCGGGAGTGCTTGACCCACCTCTCTGGACCTTTACCGGTCCGTAGTACTCCGTTACGAACGTATACAACTGCGTTCCAACAATGATAGGACATTCCAGATCATTGAGGATAGTAATCCGACTTTTTAACTTTGCGTGTCGTAGCGCTGTCTGATCTCAAACGGGAGCCATAATCGGCACTGTGTGAACGCAGCCTTAGCAGCTATTTCTGACGATTATGGAAAGGGTTTTATCGCTTTTGTTATTATTTTGTTTTACTTATAGGGAAGAGCGTGTCAACAATTGTTCGTAAGAAGGGAGTCACCGGTTATTGTTTTCGAAGACGGAGATGTTTCAGTAATAATCCACCATATGTATCTGATGAATTTGTCAGGCAATAACATCTTTTAAAAGCTGTCTTAGGCAATGTGATAAATTCATATTATTATTTTATAACTCCATATATATATATATATATATATATACATTTGGAAAATAACATGTCAATGCAAAATAACCTCTTGATAAATTCACATCCTGCATTAAGTTTCTGAAATATATATGTGCTTTTATATAAATACAGGAAACGATAATCTTATGAACCGATTCATGGCAATAGTTATTTCGCTGCCCTTTCAACTGAACTGCCGGACAAGTAAAAGTATACACTTGAAAATTGGATTTCACCAAAAATCATAAACTTTATCAAAACATTACTTGTTTGAAAACAGCCTGCGATCACTGCAAACTCAAGAACCAAAACACAACCATAATAACCGTATCAAACACCCTCGACACACCATATAGTGTTTCTTTCCTTTTTCGCCAACATCAAACGTGTGTATACTGTCTTTTGCGTTTGCGTATGAATCTAATGTTCAAGTCACGGACACTCGTCAACAATACAGATGCATTAAGGTTGTACAAGGTAACTTCATTGAGTCGAATGTGATAGATAATAGTACCTACAACCACTTTTCACTGGATTAATATTCATATGAAGTAATAAAAATGATAAATGTGTTTTTAACGTGTTTTTGTGACGGGTTCCGACGGTGGGGCAGGATACGCTCACCTTTTCCCGGGCGGTCGGGTAGCCTAGTGGTTAAAGCGTTCGCTCGTCACGCAAAAGACCCAGGTTCGATTCCCGACATGGGTACAATTTGTGAAGCCCATTTCTGGTGTCCCCCGCAGTGATATTGCTGGAATATTGCTAAAAGCGGCGTATACTTTATCAAAACATTACTTGTTTGAAAACAGCCTGCGATCACTGCAAACTCAAGAACCAAAACACAACCATGATACCCGTATCAAACACTATCAAACACTTTCTTTCCTTTTTCGCCAACATCAAACGTGTGTATACTGTCTTTTGCGTTTCAGGTTGCATGCTCCTTTTTGATATTATATGATTTGCCTCAGTACCTGCAACCAATTGGAGGAAACATGCGTTTTGTCTGTATTGAATTTTCGCAAGTATGGCTGGGATTGTAGACATTTTAACAAAATATGTAGATATTGGAATATGTGAGTGAGTTGGGTTTAATGCAACATTAAACAGTTTTCCAGTTAGGTCACGTCGTGTCAGCGTGATGTGGGAGGAAAGACCGAAGTGATGCAGGTCTTAGACGTTTACCACTTCGGTGATACCCAGAAGCACGGGTATGGTGCTGACAAACCTAGAAACAACGGGAGCAAGCCGTGAAGATATTTGCAAAAGATACACATGAATGATCGCTATATATAAAACACGAAGCATTGATGCTTATGATTTTTACAGGTGTATATTTCATTTAATGAACACCATCGAAGGGCGATTAGAAGCATTGGAATCACAATGGGGTGGAGCCCGGATTCAAAGTGTCTCAGAGTACGATCGCTATACATTAGTTTCGGTACCTACCCAGGTGAGGCCGACATCTTCCACGACTGCAATGGATATCTGACCAGAGTGGAGCCGCCTTCGTGAGCCAGCCGTCCATGAGAGGTGTTTTTGAGACGCAAGATCTACATTTGCGACGCCAGTCGTGTCATTTAATGAACAAACATAGTTAAGGATCATGAATATTCTGGGGCATTTTTTGTGTGGTGAAGACTGAGCACACCATTTCATGAACACATACCCCAAAATATTCATGATCACTAACTTATTTTGTTCTGTATACATGTGGTGACGTGTAGCTCGGTAGATCCACCAGGAGCGTGACGGCTCTGTCAGAACACGCTGAAATATACCCAGTGACTATGACTGCATACATCACGCCATCTAATATCGACTGCCTGCATTGCCTACTATGACATTCCCGTACCGCCTTTACATTCCCGCATCGCGGATAAGCACGGGTAGACCCAGGTAGAAATATCTACCTTTCCAATTGTTTACCTAATATCTTTTAACTATACGTATTATATCTTATCGTTGTTTATTAACAACATGGCTCAGAAAGAATGTCAATTGTCGGTGTTCTGTCATTAACAGTTTCATTATAAATGATCCTTTCTTTCATGTGTGTCTTGTTGGTTTGAACAGACACGTAAACACACTGTCAAAATTGGAAAAAAGTGAGTCAAGAAAGTCACGACAAGTGGCTCATTGCATTATGATGTATTGAATAAGTTATTAAACATTTTTTTCCTACGTCTCACAGCTTTAACTTTTCCGTATCTCCGAAAAATTGTATGGCTAGGATTCACACGACGTGTGTGATGATCCATCGCTGTCATGCCTCAGTACAGTTTGTCAATGCAACCTCTATAGGCAACCTCTATCTGCACTTGTAAACGTCTTCCATGATATACAGAAATAACATCCCTGTCATCCCTGCGCTCCCATGTGATGAGGCTCGGGTGAGTTGATTGGAGGACTGGTCTGTTATTATGTCGTACCCTGGCGACGGCAAAAGAGATGCTATTCTGTTAAGGCTGTCCACGGCAGACAGCGTGTATTACTCTAGAAGAGACAGTTTCAACCAGAGCGTTAATAATTCCAGTTAGTTTTGTTCTGTTCATACATTACCTGTCGCAGCAGTCGACATTGACGATTCTCACCTTTCCAGGTGAAATGAACTTACAGATGAAGAACAGTGTTTTCTCTCTCGTCCTAATTGCAGGTAAGATGATTTGGATATTATTATCTCTGGTCGCGCCGTATGTAGTTTCGTGAAAAAAGGATTCTACCTGTTCGTGAAGGTGTGCTGGGAATGGAGGTGTTCTGTGCCAGAGCTATGTGTCACGTTGCCTGATTTCAAGCAATGGATGTATAAAACACGGGTGTTTGTATAATCGAGGATGGGGAGATGCTGAAGATTCCTCCCTTGCATCGATACATGAAGACAATCAGTGGTGGACATTTACGTGGAGTATCACTGAACTGTGGATTACGATTTCATGATTATTCCTCGAGAATCAACATAGATTCCATATTGATATTGATGCTGATGTTAAGTGTATAGATGGTGAAAGTCGTGATTATAGGTGTGTGTATGTGGCGTGTCGTTGAAGAGTAAGGTCATGTCTAGTTTAAAATGATGCTTTGAACATGCTATGCGTTTACTAAATATATGCTTAAAATTTATCACATGATTTGCCTAAGCCAAAGACTCCATGTTTATGAAATAGTGTATATACTACAATAGATGTTTATCAGTTCGATTTACGCGGGTGTGTGTTAACATAGTCCAGTCGATGTCGGTATAAAGATTGGTTTACGGTATTGGATCCCCCCGGGCGTGAATTTAATGTCTAATTGAAAGATCTGAAATAAAGATCATACGTATCTACTATAAAGGTACCAAATCAATAACATTGATCATTATCGCTTCCATGCAAGAACCGTATGTTGAGTGAGTGAGTGAATAGGTATGATTTTACTGTTCCCGGTACCTGGAACCTGTTCCACAAAGCGATCTAAGTGCTAAGTTGGTCGTAACTCCCATACTTCATCATAGGCCTACGATCAACGTAGCACTAAGATCGCTTTGGGGAACAGGGCCCTGTTCCACAAAGTTATCTTAACGTTTTTGATTGTAACTCCCACACCTTAACACTGGCTTACGATAGTCATAGCGTTAAGATCGCTTTCCGGAGAGCGGCGGCATACCAGAAATAGCCTTCATGCCTTGTAACCACGTGGGCGAATCGAGCCCGGGCCTTCGGAGACCCGACTCCACCTCGCTCACTAATGCGTATTTAATGCATACTAATACTAATGATAATGTTTATGTTCCAACAACGTTATATGAATATAAAACATCAACACCAGAGTAAAGTCACTCTCGATTATCTGCCGAAAAAGAATCCATTTTCATAATAAGCAACAAAAAAAGGAGAAGAGATATCTTAAATATCTTATTATGTATGTAATTATTTTCCCCCGTCTGGAATCATTGTACTCTGCTAAACAATGCTGGCTAATCCTTAAATTATATGTACATTGTTTATCGCAATATCGATAATGTCACGTGTTACTTGTCTGTGAAGCATGACGTAGGACAAGGGCCCATTTGTGGCCTCAGGAATTGTTGAATGTAAAAATGCGGAAAAACAGTGAAATATGTTTAACTAGTATGAACATTATCACGTTCAAATCCATTTCTGATCTGCACTCTGAGCAAGTCCGTGATCCAAAACGATACTTTTATCATATGCTTGAACTGATTTTATCTACATGAAAACCAGTTTGGGTCAAGGCAGTTGATTTTTTTTTATAGAAAACAGTTTTATTTGAATCCTAAAATACAAGTTGGGGACAAGTGATACTTGTAAAAATATCTGGGTAAATCATTCTGTGACCAACCAAAGTACAGCAGAACACCATCGAAGGGCGATTAGAAGCATTGGAATCACAATGGGGTGGAGCCCGGATTCAAAGTGTCTCAGAGTACGATCGCTATACATTAGTTTCGGTACCTACCCAGGTGAGGCCGACATCTTCCACGACTGCAATGGATATCTGACCAGAGTGGAGCCGCCTTCGTGAGCCAGCCGGCCATGAGAGGTGTTTTTGAGACGCAAGATCTACATTTGCGACGCCAGTCGTGTCAAGCATGTATTGTTTGGTTCAGCAAGCGAAGCAAGAACCCTTTGCCGCTAACTGCATATGGGGGTCGATAAATTGGTTGGATTTCGTGTTGGCGGCAATCCCCCACACTGATAGAACAAACCTGGTGCAAGTGCAAGTGCAAGTGCAAGTGCAAGTGCAAGTGCAAGTGCAAGTGCAAGTCTCTGAATCCCTACAACTCAGCCTCAATGTTTGTTTTATGTTTATGTTATATTTCAAACAAGACCACGATAGACCGCATACAAAACACGTAAGAGCAGCACTACCAGGTTTGAACCTGATAGAACGCTCACGGAACATGCTGAATCCACAGCACCATACTAAACCACGGACACTGCTTTCACAGTGGGCTGATATCCCCCAAAATGTGATCCGTACTCTCGTTTCACACAATTCCCGGAAGTGCTAGTTTCTGACGCCCATGTTGGAAACACGAGGTATTGAGTTCTCTTGACTTTGACCTTTATAATTTTAATTTTCCATGAAACATGACGTTTGCATGGTTCATATTGGACACGTGTACATTTTACTAAAGGTCTCGCTAAGTATTTCCACAATGCATATCCCGTGGGTCTAATCATACTTAGTCCTTTAAACACCACGGTACACATGATTGGTGACTTGCAATACAACTAAATGTAAAACTACCACAAAGAACTTAAACTTTCATGGAAGGAAACAACAATCCAGTGGTCACATCATTCAGCATTAAATGTGTGCTTTCAAGATTCAATCAACACCTCACCAAAGTGGACCTTATACAATATATCAGGGCCAGTCTCCACAGATCAACGTTAAAAAAAAGACTGATCAGCACTATAGACCTACGGAGACATGAAGATTCGGACTGGAATATGCACTGGCTGTGGATTTGCATATGATAAAGGCGACAAAACCCTTTCTATATTCATAAAATCCATATTTCCATATTCAGAAATCTCTGCCAAATACGAGACGGCGGGGTAGCCTAGTGGTTAAAGCACTTCACCCCAAAGACCATGGTCCGATTCCCCACATGAATACAATGTGTGAAGCCCATTTCTGGAATTTCTGGTGATATTGCTGGAATATTGCTTATAGCGGCGTAAACTTTACTCATTCACTCTTCCAAATACAGAGTCGACTGTACGATTCCGACCATGTCACGAGCATGTGTCTTTGAATCACTATCAAATAGTGATGATACCAGGTGTTTGCTAAAAGGAGAGCGTATCTCAAACGTTACTCGGTCGTACAAGACACACGTTACTCGGGTTGAGTTAGCCAAGAAGATACCCATGGACATATATTTGGCCCAGAGTCGCTGCAGTTAATGCAATGGAATGTTCAGTGACAAGGCTTTGGTTTACAAGGGGAGTCTGGGTTGATGGATGAATACATGGGTGGGTGTATAGATGGACAGTCTGGTGAACAGATGGGTGGGTGTTTATGTAGATGGTTGGCTTGATGGAATTTGTTTGGGGTGGCGGATGGATAGAAGAGAGGTGTGTATATATGGCATATGTCTGTGTTTGTTGTGTACGATGGTGAGTGAGTGACTGAGTTGGGTTTAACGCCGCTTTTAACAATATTCCAGTTATATCGCGGCGTGTCAGATTAATGTGGGTGGAAAGCCCGAAGTGATGCAGGTCTCAGACATTAACCACTTCGGTGAAACCCACGAACACGGGTATGGTGCTGACAAACCTAGAAACATAATCGGGGCGAACCGGGATTCGAACCCACAATCATAGGTTTCTGGCGTGCCCAAGGGACGCAACTCTGCACAGCGAATCGCGGCGCCTTAGACGACTGGGCCACCCGTGCCCCCTGTGTACGATGGGATCACCACAGTAGGACTACTTCAGGGCTGTGAAACGTACTGTGACTAATAAGTTGAATGTGGTGAAGCTCAGTACAATCAGTGATGCATGCATGGGAAGTGGGCACAAAGGTGTTCTCACGGTAAAGGCGGTTGTGTAACAAGTCATGGTTGACCGAAAAGGCAGAAAGGAGACTCCGAAGTCTGAAATACAATTTGAAATTTTCTTTCACGAGATAGTATTAAAGGGAGAAATATATGTCAAGTTCTACCACTACTATTACGATATAACATCCTTTATGTCCCACAATGTTCGAGATAGAGACGCCACGTGTGCCCTACAATAACGTACTGCAATGTTGCCTGTGATCAGAAATATGCATCAGGATCTTTCCACAACATGACGATCTGCTTCCTCAAAGGGGTCTAGGATCGGCAAGTTTCACTAAAATGATTCACAATTGACATTGTTTGTCTGCTAGCTCAAATCACTGTTGTTGACAGTGACCATTCACAGTTTCACACAAGGCAGAACAATGCCTGGACCAGTCTGGAATGGGTACCATATCTATACACAAAGAAAAAAAGTTAAGCACACCCTAATATATTTCATCATTGTTTGGTCCCAATATTTGTAACAATCATGAAAGATATAATTCCGGGAAGAATTATATATGTTTTCTCGAGATGATGTCATCAGTCATGGGTGACGAAAGCTCACGTGTCATCATATAGTGTGCAGCATGCTACCCTCGAGTATCTTTAAAAGCAGTAATCCAAACGTTAAAATTACTGTCTTAAGCTCGGTTTAAAACAGTTATTCCATGACATTGTGTGACCATGGTACGAAGGCGATTATCAAACGCCACAAGATGGCAAATAATCGGGATTATAACGCAGGAATGTCTTGTAAGGCCAATTTGGGGTATCATCACACTGTCGTAAGCCGTTTAGTCGAGAAACATGCTCAGACCACTGATGTACAGGACCGTCCAAGATCCGGAAGACCTCCTGTGACGACACATCGCGAAGAGACGGACCTTCTTCCTCTCATACGCCGAGAACCCTTTCTAACAAGTACTCATCTGAAACAGCTGTGGTTGCTCAATCGTCGTTTCAGCACTAGCACCGTCAGGAACCGGATGAAAGCAGCAGGACTGAGGGCTAGACGAGTCATAAAGCGTCCCTTGTTGAGAGATCACCACAAAGCTGCTCGTTTAGCATGGTGTATTGCGCGACAGATCTGGAAG